TCCTTCTCTCTCTCTACCTTATCATCATCATAACCATTATGGTCCATGTAGAACTCTGGTATTCAATACAGCTTATTTAGTAACGTATTGATGATAACACGGTCAAGTTAATAGTACAGAAACAACCCTTGTGGTACTGAACAAACAACATCCTCTTTGCTGCAAATAAAAATAAGAAGTAAATGCACCGAGATAAGCCAGAGGTTTGTTTCTTGTACTTAACAGAGCATCTCAGTTCTTACAGAGACTTTCTGTCCTGGCTCATTGCCTTCCTGGTCAGACTGTCAGGGTTGGGCAGTGTGTCTTCTCAGCTTCAGCGTTAGAGGCCATCTGGAGGCAAAGACACGAGAGAGAAAATGACGTTGCTCCAGGGGGCGTCTTAGGATAATCTTCCCGGAAAGCCAAGTCCAATTCTGAATGTCTGTCTAGGAGTAAATACATGAATTAGCACAGCTGCATAAATATTTCACTTATCTTACGCAGCTTCAGCAGGATTAATTATGCTCCAAAATTAGCCCCATGAAGAGCACGGTGTGGAGCAGCACCTAATTATTATGCGTCCTTTAGAATGGAGTGTTTATCTCTTGTTATGGAGTAGCTTCACTGGACGATTACGGGTCTAATGAGTGTCAAAAGTATAAAAAAAAGAAACTTCCTAATGAGCTGTGTAAATATAACCTTTGAGTGTGGTGTTTGATTATCGGAGGGAAACCTCTTACATGAAGCCCTTCAGGCATTTCCCTAGGAAACAGGCTACTGATCTGCATCCTCCTTGAAACACTGTTACTCCACGGGACCTCTGGCTTTCGGTAGATGAGTGACAATGGTCACAAGTACCTGTCAGCATAGACTGGCATCACTACCCAGCATGCACAGAGAAACACTTTCCTAGGCACATAGAGGGTTCTGCTTGTTCTTTCCTGCCAAGGACTAATAGTCCAGTTGGTTGACAGTATATAAACTTAAGTGTCTAATCATAAAGTAGAACCGAGTATATAATAATCCACACATACATGAATCCCCATATATCTATACACATGTGTGTTCTAATTTAGGTGTCTTGGTAAGTGGTCAAGGAAAAAAACAAATTTACTTCAAAAAGCTCATGGAGCACAGAATTAAAAGCTGTTTATTTTGGTACACTCTTTGAAATCGAGGCGTTGTTTTCTCATAATGCATATTTTCCACGAGCTTTCTGAAGACTTTATCCTGAATTTCAAATTTTTATTGTACTGAAACTTACCTTGGAATGCCCATCTCCCATGAACATTTCCAGTTATCCTCGTGAGACATGCTGGATTTTTTAGTGGGAAATGAAAGGACAGAATGACTAATAAATGCTGTGCTGTGAGGTTTAGACACAGCTGGTACCAGCCGGAGCTCACAGAGGCCTTAGCCGTTTATTCGCCCAGAAACCAGGAAATCTCTGTTGAGTCTCTGCTGTCTTCCTGGAACCTCCAAGATGACGTTGGAATAAGAGCAAACAGAGTAAGCTCGGACTCCAAGAGGGGCATCTGTGGCTTCCAAGTGGAAGTGAGCAAGGGATGGCTTTGTCTGGTGGATTTTGTGGTATGTTTTTAAAGGTTTTATTTATTTATTTGACAGGCAGAATTACAGACACAGAGAGAGAGAGACAGAGAGAAAGGTCTTTCTTCTACTGGTTCACTCCCCAAATGGCCACAATGGCAGGAGCTGCACCAATCTGAAGCCAGGAGCCAGGTGCTTCTTCCTGGTCTCCCACATGGGTGCAGGGCCCAAGCACTTGGACCATCCTCTGCTGCTATCACAGGCCATAGAGAGTTGGACTGGAAGAGGAGCAACCGGGATTAGAACCGGTGGCCATATGGGATGCCAGTGCTGCAGGCGAAGGATTAACCCAGTGCGCCACAGCACCGGCCCCTGGATTTTGTGATTTTTAACATGATTTGGGGTTTTGAAGATTCAGAAGGAAGACCTGAGGTCAGGACCCTTCTGATGTGTAGGGACTGGTAAAATATTCCACGTCCGTGGACCATTACTGCACAGTCACATTCAGAAGCAAGTGATGCTAAGACCAGGAAGGAGACAGCTGTCTTTCAGCCCTCCCCTCTGTTCTAGTACCATGGCTCATACATCACATGTGACACCCTGTCACTCATCAGATAACGCTCTGACCTGGATCTTGTCTCCACGGGCAGAGCAGGAAAATGAGGCTCCATCAGGCAGAGGGAGCCACAGAAGCATTTCTCAAACTTCAGCATGAACAGGGATCACCTGGGGATCTTGTTAACACAGTGGCTCTGTTTCAGGAGTCTGTGGTGCAGCACGAGACTGCATCTCTACAAGCTCACCAGTGATGCAGGTGCAGCCGGTCTACAGGCAACACACAGACTGTACGCATTGATCAATGTAGAAGTTGAACTAAAGGCATCTGGGGGCACTGCTGCTCATCTTTCCCTTAAAACCACTCTGCAGGCATTGTCTTTCCGTGACGCCATCCTGGCCACAGGGAGCCAGGTTGCATCAGTACACAGAGGAAAATGAAACTTACAGCTGATGGAAGCTGGGTGAGGATTTTAACTCCAGAGTGCAGTACTTGTCCCTACTGTCTAGCCTGAGACTACTGAACAAATGAAATCAAATGCACATATTTGTCAGGTACTTAGACCTTAGATTTATGCTTATATATTCCATTGATTTTGAAAACATAACCGCCACATGAAACGTTTAAGGGATACATACATATTGCTTGCATCAGTATTATTTTAATAGGGTGACCAACTTAAGCCATTTTGCAGAGAGTCTCTCAGTCTTAAAACTAGTGGGCCGGTGTCGTGGCTCACTTGGCTAATCCTCCGCCTGTGGTGCCGGAATCCCATATGGGTGGTGGGTTCTAGTCCCGGTTGCTCCTCTTCCAGTCCAGCTCTCTGCTGTGGCCCGGGGAGGCAGTGGAGGATGGCCAAGTGCGCCCGCATGGGAGACCGGGAGGAAGCACCTGGCTCCTGGCTTCGGATCGGCACAGCACTGGCCGTAATGGCCATTTGTGGGGTGAACCAATGGAAGGAAGACCTTTCTCTCTGTCTCTCTCTCTCTCACTGTCTAACTCTGCCTATCAAATAAGTAAACAAACAAACAAACAAATAAAAAAAATAGTAATGTCAGTGCTATCACATTTGGGCACATATAAGTATCACGTTTGAAATGTTTGAAAGATACCATATGTGAGCGTTCACTTCATTGGCTAGGAACACTGGGTCCCCGTCGTCCCTTTTGTATTGCAACTTTGCCCGCAGTTGTTTTACCACCCATCCGGGTTGTTGATGGATTGGAGGGGGCCAGTGAGTTCACAGCTTCGGAAAGCTCTACCTCAAAGTCCCGGCACCCTCAGGTCTCGGAGTGAGGCACTTCTGGAGGGGATTCAACACGGAGGCCCACACTCTGCCTCTCAGTGGATCACTGTTGACCGCTTGGTTCCTCTGTTCGTCGGCTGTTCTTCCAGGTTGGCTTTTGATGGCGAGGGACCACATGCTGCCAAGCTGGAGTAGAGAGCGTGTTTGCGTGATTACAGAAGTTCCTTGTGTATCTAATTAGGATTTTCACAAATTGCTCTGGGCCACTGGATGAGTTGCTAATATTCTCAGCACTGCCCTTGTCTAACTTCCCAGCTTAATATCTCTGGGAGGATGTTTGCGTCTAAGGGGGAGCTGGATGCCTCCCCCGACCCCCACACTTCTGCAGCCCGGGGGGTGAGGACCACACCTGCCCCCAATCTGAGGGCAGCACTGCCCTGGGAGACCCTCACAGGCCGTCTTCTCAGGGTCGTTTAGAAGTGGTCCAGCAGTGTAGTTGAGGAAGTCACTGAACACCCCCCACCCCATTTAACTGCAGCGTCTGCAAGTCCAGCTCTCGAGTCTGTCAGGTAAGACTGGGTTTTGCTGCAGTCCCACTGAAGCATGCACTTCCTTCTCCCTTCTTGAGTTCCAACTCCATCCCTTGCTTTGACATCTGACCGACCCTTTGGCCAATGTGTCGCTCCCAAGTGTCTGTAATAAATAAGGGGAGAGTGACCAGCAGTTGTACTGTGGGGGCCCCAAAATTAGCAAAAAGAGGGTGAAGTGTGTGGCTCCTTCTGTTGGTTGTGATAAAAAGGTGAAAGTATTTTCTTTAGGGTTTGGAAATCCAGCCACTTCCTGTCTCTGAAAATAAAGTTTTATTGCAACACAACCACAAGGAGAATAGAAAGGAAAAAAAGAAAGACGAGAAAGGATGATGAAGAAGGAGGAGAAAGAACAGGGTCAGAATGGAAAGGAAGAGCAGAGAGCGAGGAAGAGACAGGGTAGAAGAGTGTGGGAGAGGACAGAGTGAAGAGGGACGTTTGAGAAGTGACCAGTTCAGGCCCCAGCAGGCTGGGCTGCTGTTGTCCAGGTAGCCCGTTGACCGTGTGGCAAGGGAGAGCACAGGTCACAGAGCTGTCCACTGCCCCATCTTGGCTGCAGGGTGGTCTGAGGCATGGACCACGGTGCCTTGGAGATGCCTGATCTGTCTCCGGCTGGCTCACCTGCTGCCCAGTCTCCCTGGCGTGGGCCATCCTCGGGTGACTCAGTGACACCTTCTTGCAACCGGCAGCCTCAACCCATTTAAAGAGATAAACTCAAGATTAGGATTAGGGGTGGGAAGGGTGTGGTTAGGGATGAGGTGGCGCTGAGAACCCCCTTGGAGAGGGTGGAGCAGTTTTCCAGTCACTGAGGGGAAGCAGAGCTCCCTGGCTACTGTTACTATTGTATCAACATCTGTAGGAATAAGTATATACTTCCAGGGGGTAAGGATATGTCCTAAAGTCATCTCTCTTTATAGGATTCATTTCATTTCGTCCTCACAGTGACAGACTGTATGAGTTAGGATTATTAATTCCTATTACGGGTGAGAAAACTGATTCTCAGGTTAAATAAGGTGCAGACGATCACTCAGCCACTGAGTGGCAGATCAGGACCTCTGTAAGAGGGCTTCCAGGACTTTGCTTTAGCTGTTGTGTGGTGTTGCTCCAGTCAGCTGCTAGGACCCTCACAGAAGCCTATAAGGCCAGTATTCCCATCTGGAAACAGGCAGAGCTGGGGTTCAAACATAGATGGCTCGCATCCGGGATTCAGTGTTCCTCCTCTGTACACAGGGAGCAGCGTCGTCCCTCTGCAAATAATATTGGGGAAAAAATACCTCAGTGACAGAGGTCGAAGACGGAAAAGTGACCTCCCCTTTGCTCCATTTCTCCGTGGTGGAGGAGACTTGTCCATGCCTCAGGCCCCGGCACCATGGGAACATACTCAGCCTCATTTTTGAGATCATTCAACCCTGGCAGTTTGGGGGGAAAACTCAGGCCTGAGAAGGAATGAAACAGGGACAGGATGTAATTCAGAGAAGCAAGCCGTTTGGCCCTGAGGACCACACATGCCCCCAGTCTGAGGGCAGCACTGCCCTCACAGGCCATCTTCTCCGCACTGCCCTGCGGAGCAGCCTCGGCAGGTCCACAAACACCCATCTCGCTCGCGGGAAGTGCTTGTTCCCCACAGAGCTCCTTGGAGCCGCATCAGCCCTGGCGTTTCAGAAAGTTACTGTTGCTTGCTAACCGTGTTTTCATCAAATGGAGGCTTCAGAGGCAGCAGTCACAGTTAGGGCTGCACTAGGCTACCCTGTAGATCAAGAACTTTCTGATCAAGTTAGCCAGGACTGGGCGCTGTGGACACAGGGGCCCTCGATCTCACTCACCCGTTTGGTCCCAGATTTGTTCTTCTTTCTGATCATTCATTCCACAATGAACAGCCGAGCCTCTTCTGACCTCTGGGCAGTGGGAAATGACAATGGATATGCACTCCTGGACCCCTGGTCTGTTGTCCTTATGTAGGAACCTCCTTTTGACATTTTCTGTCCGGTAGGATCATTTGGGGAGTCTGCTGAAAACACAGGTACCTACATTTCATTCTTCCTCCCAGGACATTTTCAACAAGGAGATTTTAAAAATCATGCTTTAGCAAACAGTATTTCGCATTTAGAAACATGTTATTCTCTGATAGACAAACGCTAGGCGCGGATGTCAGCGGCTAACAGATCACTCTGCTGGAGTCGATGATGTCAGATTTTTCCCTTTATTTTATTCATCTCCTTCTCTCAGGGCTCCTAATTGGGGTTGTGCAGAGACCTTGGTGATTGTGAAGGCCCGAGGAGTAGGTGGTGTTGAACTTCTAAGTGTCAGCCTCACAGCACCCACAATAGGGAACACAGCAGATAGGAAGGTAGACTGTGAATGGAAGAAACAGTCAGATAGGCTTGAATGTTAAGCTTCCTCATTCAGAAAGGATCAAAATAGACATGAAAGTCTTTATTGCTTCCCAAGATTTCACTTTCGTTTATTGACTATAATAACAGTGTTAAAAATAAAACAGGCGAGAAGCTCTGCATTCGGTCAGGGACTGAGCCAGCGCTTCTGTTGATTAACTCAGATCTGGAACCAGGTTTGCACTGGATGGATCTTCTGATTCCTTCCACGTGCAGATGTGGCCCCTTCTGAAATCGCCAGAGAAGAGCACCTAAGGGCCGTTATCAAAGAGTAGTTGAGGCTGGCGCTGCAGCTCACTAGGCTAATCCTCCGCCTGTGGTGCCGGCACACCGGGTTCTAGTCCTGATTAGGGTGCCAGATTCTGTCCCGGTTGCCCCTCTTCCAGTCCAGCTCTCTGCTGTGGCCCGGGAGTACAGTGGAGGATGGCCCAAGTCCCTGCACCCGCATGGGAGATCAGGAGAAGCACCTGGCTCCTGGCTTCGGATCAGCGCAGTGCACCGGCAGCAGCACGGTGGCCGCAGCGGCCATTGGAGGGTGAACCAATGGCAAAGGAAGACCTTTCTCTCTGTCTCTCTCTCTCACTGTCCACTCTGCCTGTCAAAAAAAAAAAAAGAGTAGTTGACTGAATCTAAATTTTTAGTATGAATTTCAACATTGCTCCCACTCTGTGTGGATGGCTTTTTCTTTTTCTGTTTTTAAAGATATTTATTTGAAAGGCAGAGTGACGCGGAGTGGTGGGGGCACAGGGGAAGATGGAGGAAGGGAGAGACAGAGAGATCTACCATCTGCTGGCTCATCCTCCAAATGCCTGCTAACAGCCAGGGCTGAACCATGCCAAAGCCAGTAGCCAGGAGGTTCCTCTGGGTCTCCCCTGTGGGTGGCTAGGGCCCGAGTATTTGGGCCATCATCTGCTGCCTTCCAGGCACATCAGCAGGGAATTGGGTCAGAAGCAGAGTAGCCGGGACTCCACCCAGCACTGTGATATGGGATGCCAGCGTTGCAAGCTGTGGCTTACCCCACTGCACCAGAACACCAGCCCCGTGGATAGAGTTTTCAAGCACACAGACCTCATTTATGCACAAAAGCCTTTAGTGAAATACACTCAAAAGAGGGTGCTGATTGGTGACCATTTGGATGCCCCAGCAACCAAATGACTTTGACCCTCCCACACATGATGAGCTGTGTCCAGGGCAAGGTATTCATGTGGAGATGCAATGTTTTCAAAGAAGAAATGTGCCAATCCCAAGCATAGATTAGCAAGAAAGGGTTTAACTGCCTCTTCTTTGGCCTGTGACCAGATGGTACCATAACAATCAGACCTGGTTATCTCCCTCCTAATTCTAACTAGAGACATATTTGGAATAATAATGGAACCGGGCTGAAGAAATAGATAAAATCCATAAATATCCTGAAGAGCCATCGACTCTCCCTCCGAGGGAAAGCTGTGAGGCTTTTCTTTCCTGTGAAGTTCCCAGCAAATTTCCCAACAGGCCCAGTGAGATCCAGAGACAGTGTTTATTATCCGTCTGACACAGGCTTAGAACAAGGTCAGCGGTGCCAAGCCGAGGCCTGAGGAGAGTGAATCGCTCAAACTAGGGGAAGTCAGGGCCGTCAAAAAGGGAATCAGACATGACGAATGGCTCGCTGCTAAGTCAAACGCTGGCTTCACTGTGCCCGGTGCAAAACTTATGGGATGGAATAAACAGTGGCCTGAAAGCCCTCTCCGTCTACAGTTTCAAGTGCTTTCATTTGGAAATGCTGTATATGAAAAACTTCATGGGAAAAGTAGAGTTGACAGTGATGTGCCTTCTCCGTTGAGTTTTTGAAGGCCTTTCGTGTGTGTGTGTGTGTGTGTGTGTGTGTGCTTGTAATCACCCAAATCTATCACCTTACCACAGCTGTTTTCAATGTGTACATTGCTTCTTATTCCCTGTCACTTGCAGGCATATTTCTTTAAATCATCATTATCATTGGTTATGTAACAACACACTTTTATATTCTACTGCTTTCACTTATCATTATATTATATTAAACGTTTTTATGTTGTTTCATTATCTGCTCCTCACAATTATTTTAATTTTTGCATAAAATTGTCATCATTGTTATTAAACCAGAAATCGTTACATTATTTTCCTAATGATAAACATTTTCAATTTTATGCTGGTACATTTAGGCCAGCAGTTAAGACACTGGAGGAGACACTTTGCATATCTGAGTGCCTAGATTTGATGTGTGGCTCCAACTCATGGCTCTGGTTTCCGGTGCAGACCCTGGAAGGTAGTGTTGACAGCCCAGTTATCTGGGTTCCTGCTACCCTTGTGGGAGACCTGGGTTGAGAGATGTGGGTCCAATACTGGCTCTATTTGTCTCTCTGTATTCAACTAAAAGAACTAGTGCAGATGGAAGGAACATCGTCTTATCTTTTTTTTTTTTTTTTGGAACTGTCTATATTGTAGATTTTGAAGGATTGGTGATTATAAACAACTCTAGGAATCTAATGCCCGAAAAGTTTGTTCATACCTATAATACTGCTAATAATAAATTAATGTATAATTTTATAACAGCCTATAAGAATTGAGCACTACTGTTCTGCTTCTCTTCTATTTTTTTTAATTTATTTTATTTGAAAGTTAGAGTTACAGAGAGGCAGACACAGAGAGAGGTCTTCCATCCACTGGTTCACTCCCCAAATGGCCACAATAGCTGGAGCTGCACCACTCTGAAGCCAGGAGCCAGGAGCTTCTTCCAGGTCTCCCACATGGGTGCAGAGACCCAAGGACTTGAACCATTTTCCACTGCTTTTCCAGGCCATAGGAGAGAGTTGGATTGGAAGTGGGGCAACCAGGATTCAAACTGGAGCCCATATGGGATGCTGGCACTGCAGGCTGAGCTTTACCCACTATGCCACAGAGCTGGCCCCCTCCTCTGCTACTTTAAGAGATGCAAAGTACCATCTTGGGGTTTTTCTTCATTTTAATTCCTTTGACCACTGGTGAAAATGAAAAAAAAATGAGTTATCTCTTCATCTTATTTGACCTTTTATCCACTTTTACATATAAATTTGAATAAGCACCATGAATACTTTAGTACTTTATTAAAACTTTGGGGGCTGGCTCTGTGTTGTAGTGGGTAAGGCTGCTGCCTGCAATGCTGGTATCCTGTGTGGTCGCCAGTTGGATTCCCGCTGCTCCACTTCCCATCCAGCTTTCTCTTATGGCCTGGGAGAGTAATGGAAGATGGCCCAAGTCCTTGGGCCCCTGCACCCATGTGGAAGACCCAGAGGAAGCTCCTGGCTCCTGATTTCGGATCGACACAGTTCTGGCTGTTGCAGCCAATTAGGGGGTGAACCAGCGAATGGAAGACCTCTCTCTCTCTCTCACTCTCTCACTCTCTGCCTCTCCTCTCTCAATGTAACTCTGACTTTCAAATAAATGGATGGGTCTTAAAAACAAAGAAACCTTTGGTTACAAAATTTCATACAGGAAGGATCAGTAATGTAGCAGCATGGATGCAGGTAGACAGTAAGGCTTTGGATTCAAATAAGGAACATGATCGTTGCTCTAAGATCTTGGGCAAATTACTTATTCCTTTTAGGGAGCAATTTCTTGCTGTTTGAATTGTGGAATGTAAGGGCACCATCTTCACCAAGTTGAATGTTATAATATTTTAGAGTAGCTTAGTTTAATAGCCATCAAATAGTAGGAACTAAGTAAATGCAGATAAGGAGAACTCCTAAATTGGGATTTACCCTAATTCATACACATAAGTTTTTTTTTAATTTTACTTTCTGTTTTGATTGCTTGAATCAAGGTTTTGCAGCCTGTGGTGCATGCTGGCCCATCGTCTGTTTTTGTAAATAAACTATTGTTGGCACACAGCCATTCCCTATGCATGTACTCTGAGTTGTCGATGGCTCTGTGCCCCAGAGACAGAGTTGAGTAGTTGTGACATGGCGTGGCCTGGCAGGCTGAAAATATTTCTAATTGGCTCTTCATAGAAAGATTTCTGACCTCTGGTTTGAATGATAAAAGTAAAACATGTCCTCTTGAAATAATTCCAATAATATGGAAGAATCGAGCTGAACATAACTCATACCTCTTTATTCTTGAAGGCTTTGTAAGTTCTCATTTTCAAAAAAGTTTTTTCCCCCCTTCTCTGGTTTAGACAGTCTTTTTTCCTTCTATTCTCCTTATTGTCACAGTCTTTGAAAAAAAAAAGATTTATTTAAAAGAGAAAGTTACAGAGAGAGGGGGAGAGACAGAAAGGGTTGGTGGAGGCGAGAAAGGGAGAGACAGAGATGTCTTCCATCCACTGGGTCAGAGCCTGGAACTCCATTTGGGTCTCCCATGTGTGTAGAAGGGGCCCAAGTACTTGGGCTGTCTTCCCCTGCTTTCCCAGGCACATTAGCAGGGAGCTGGATATGAAGTGGTACAGTTGGGCCTCAATTCAGCACTGATATACGATGCAGGCATCATAGGCAGCGGCTTGACACACAGCGCCACAATACTGCCCTGGTCCCTTGTTTTAACTCTCTAAGAAAATTCTTTATACCTCTTCTGTGCCACCCACTAGCTTTCCTTTTGTCTTTTTTCCCACCCTCTGTAAGCAATGACATATATTCATATTACACAAACCCCAGTATCCGGTTAATTTTTACACAGCTGTGCACCTGCTACCCAGATAAAGACACCTTGAACAGCACTCCAGAAAACAATCCCCAAGCCCCTGCCAGCCAACAGTCCCTACCAAAGTAACCAGTGCTCTGCCATCCATGGCCATGGATTGGGTTTGCTTCCTTTTGAACCTCAAACAAATAATGGAATCATACAATATGTAATGTATTCATTTACATCCTTTAGGGAGGTAATAGCCATTGCTGGCTTAAACATAACCCTCTGTTGTTTCCATTGCTGTGAGGCGTCCCAGTGCAACACACAGACCACAGTGTATCCAAGTAGCTGTTGAGGAGCATTTGCTTCTAGTTTTGGTATGCCCTAAATGTTCTTCTTCATTCAAAAATGTTTATTTATTTGAGAAACATGAAGAGAGGAAGGAAAGGTGAGAGGGAGGGAGGGGGAGTGAGTGAGCGAGCGAGTTCCCATCTGCTGGTTTACTTCCCGGATTCTTGCAGTAGCCGGGGCTGGCCCCAGCTGCAGCCTGGAGCTGGGAACACAACCCAATCCCAGTTTTCCACGTGAGTGGCAGGAACCTAATCCCTTACCCTCTGCCTCCTAGGGTCCGCATGCCTAGGAAGCTGGTGTCAGGAGCAGGGCTGGGTCTCACACCCAGACAGTCTGATACGGGTTGTGGCCTCTTAACTGCCAGGCTAAACACCCATTCCCTCTTTCACAGTGCTTTGGTGCATTTAGACACTTGTTTTGGGGTAGAGTCTACCTGGGAGTGGAATTTCTGGGTCACAAAACACGCATTTACATAGATTCTGCAGAGTTCCCATTCGTTTCCAGAAGCCGTGCAGGCAGCTTAGACTCCGGCCAGCAGTGCTGTGGTGCCTCTCCTCTCTGAGCTCTTTCTCCTGCCTTCTGTGAGACACGAGAAGGAGGTCTGTGTCTCTGAACTCCTTCGTGGCTGTGGGATGGGATATTGCTGTAGTTCAGACATCCCATCGCTTTCTCCATTGACTTCGTGATCTCGAGCCTTGTAACCTGACCTCAGCGGTCTCATTCATAGAGTGGGGCCCAGAGGCTGCAGTATCTTCCCCTATGAGCTTTCCTGGGCTGGAATTTGAATATGGCTACTTCCCTGTCCCTATGTGCTCTCCTGATCACTGCTGGCTGGATTGGAGATAAAGGGAAGAGGTTAGAACCCAGCCCTCCGCCTCCCCCAGCCTCACACGCACGCCAAGCCCCGTGGAAAGGAGCACAGGGACTTGGATCTGATTGAGTTCTGGGCGGCACTGGCAGCAGGTGTATTTGTGACCCTCCTTTCTGTTGAGGGTCTCCCTTCTTCCACTTCTCTCTCCTCCCCACTCTTTCCTCTTCCCCTCTCTTGCCCTTTCACCGTCTCCTTTCCTCCACATCCCAATCTGGAGGCCCCCTTAAGCTCCCCCACAGCGTCACAGGCAGTGGGAACGCAGATAAAGTAGAAGCGACCTGTCTTGCTTACAGATTTTACAGTCCCAGGGATCTTGTAGACAGCTCTTCAGTAAAAAGGGAATTAAAAAGCAGCGAAGTCATTTTACTTGCTGAAAGAAAGGATATGCGTCTTGGCATGGGATGTGAGATTATTGGTTTCCTTTTTTTTCTTCTTCTTCTATCTACAGTCTTGGAAAACATAAGAATCCCTTTGTGATATTAAAATGTCCTCATGCCCTTTAGGATGAGTCATAGGATTTTAAGGATCATTGATTGAGAAAATGTGCGGATTCAGAATTTACTGTGAATTTATTTCTGCTCACAAATGCAGGTGCCTTTTAGGTCCTATCAGCTTGACCGTGTGTGTCTGTGTGGAGTAAATGGGTTCCGTAGACTGCAGAAGTGCTTGGCGTAGGTAGGATTCCTTAGACTTCCTGCGATTTTTCTTTAATTTTCCTTCAAGAACTGTTTCTCTCCACCTCCACCCCTCTCGTGGGAAACTGTGACCAAGTCCATTGCTTGCTGTTGTGTGGAGTTCTCCAGTCCTCTCCCATCTTTTTCATTTTCTCCTCCAAGAGACATCAGTTGGCAACCTGCGTGCATAGAATACCCAACTCCAAATTGCACGCTTGGTCACATGGCCTCTGATACCCCAGCCAGATGGTGACAGTCACAGTGAACACTGCAAAACCTCAGCTCCAACCATGGAGCAGAAACCTTGGTCGGAAGGAGGTGGTGAAACACTTATGCCAAAGACATCCTGTCTTTGCATCGAACTGGATACAGTTAAGCCTAGCCCTATTTTTATTTTGGAATTGTGACTTCTCAGCATTATACAGAAATAAAATATTCTGACATTTAAATAGGGAATACTTATCTTCCACATCCAGTCTATTTGTGCCCAGAATCTTATACTATTTTCCATCACTTAGCCCATGAAAGGTGGCACATTGTTGAGTGACTCCTTGAAATCTTGGGTACAGAAGTCACAGGGTCCAGCTCACATGTGTTTTCCTTTCTTATTTGATCTTATTTGCCAGATAAGTTGTTCTTATTGGGGGGGGGTTAGGAGAATTTCTTTTTTTCTCTTTTATAAGATTAGACCAACGACCAACGATTCACCACGGGGAAGGGAGATATGGATGTCACTTCTTGCTGCTATGCCAGGAGGGTGAACTTGCCTCATGTGGCTCTGCATGCAGACTGTGGAGTTAGGGAAGCTAAAGACCCATGGTCAATGCCTAGCAGACTTAGGTCAGCTCCAAGGACACAGAGCACATCCCAGATCTGACCAGCAGCTTCCTTCCATATGCCAGGCAGCTGGGCGAGGAGAGGACTTGGCCTCCATCACGAAGACCCCGAGCCATCCTCAGTCCCGGGGCTGCACCTCAGAGCTCACACCGACTGTGTGTTCTCCTGGGAACACGAACCTGCTGATGAATCTGTGCCCTAGTTTTCCCACAAAGCAGTTGTTCCTTTGCCACCTCCAGTTCCAGTAGGGCTCCTGACAAACCCTACTGCCTGACTCCAAGGCAAGACATGAAGCAGGATGGAAATGGGGTCAGGCGCCCGCTGGGGGCTCGCAGCCAACCCTATTGGGATCAGCAAGCTGACGTCATTCGGCTATAGATGGAAGCCCGGCTCCTGGGAAGCACCGGACTCTGTTGCTAGGATCTTTGATGGGAACGAGCTTGTCCCGAGAGTCAGCCTTGACTTCTCGGTTTCAGAAACCAGCCCTGACCCCTTTGTTGGTGGCCTCAAAGGTCCCTTCCTCTCTGCAGCTTCTGCTGAGCCTCCTTTGTGCATCACAGCCTGGTCCAGGAGAGAGGAGCTTTGTGCATTTTTGGTCAGCACCGCACAGTTTTAGGGAAAATATACCATATGGAAGGCCTGTGCCAAGGATTTAGGATCTAAGAAGAGTAATACAAGATCCCTGCCTTGAATTAGCAAATAAAGTCATCTGCCTTTGATGACGACTTAGAAACGAATGACAAATATCAAAGAAATATCCAGGATATCATGGGAAGAACCATGATCTCATCCTCATCTTCCTAGGATTCAAGGAAGACTTCCTGGTGGTGGAGGCTTCTGGAAGCTCTACCCCAAAGATGGCCATTGTCCACTCTCAGCAGTGACGATATTGATGACGCTTTACCATGGATCTTTGTCAGTAATTTCTTGCAAATGGGCTTGGTTTCTCCCTGTCATTTCCTACCCTGGGAGCAGCAGAGCTTTCTCTGCCTGTCCTGCCTGCCTCTGGAATCAGGGTGGGACCCTCTGAATGACTCTGTCCCTGTGATAGGATTTGCTAGTGAACTTCCTCCACGCTGTAGCACCATTGTTAGAATTTGCACTACACATCTGTAACAGCCTACCTTACGTTATATTGCATACGAGAACACACCATTTCTGATCATGGGGCTGCTGCAGTAGGTACATGAGCAGCAACTAAACAATCTTGGACGCACCAGGAAAACACAGCTCAGGGTGTCCACATGGAAACTCATCCTGGAGCCCCCCTGTTGCTAGGGTGGCCCAGACTCCTCAGCACAAAAGCCGAGTGCCCTTTGCCTTCTGGCTCCTGTCTTCCAGGTCTCCCCCTCGGTCCCTTCTTTCTGGGAACTTCTGAACGACCCTGTGATCACAGAGCACCCCCCATTTCTCCCTGCCTGCAGACCCCTGCAGATTCAGTCACCTCATCTTGTAATTACTGGATTGCACAACCCTCTTCCACAGGACTCCGCGGCCAAAGCCACATTATTCATCTCCTTGTGTTGGTGTGCCAGGCAGACATGTTGCCCGTATGTTAAGTGCTTTGGAATGAATGAATGAATGAATGAATGAATGAATAAGAAAAAACGCACAAAGTCTTCAGGGAACCAAAAAGCAGTGACCAGAAATGAAACAGCTCATTAAACCCAACTTCTCCAAACCAAGGACCATCACTGCTGAAGGGCAGGTGCTTTGGCTAGAACCCAAGAAACCAAACAGTCATGGAGCCGTGTGCCTGTGAGGCGCTGTGTGGGAGGTGACTTTAAAAGATGTGTTTCAGCAGGTTCTCAGGCCCTGGACAAAGCCTGAAGGGTACAGGTTCAAGATGAATTTTTCAC